TCCCTACTTTGTGCCAGATAATGTTTCAGGCAATGTATAGACAATGATGAATGAGAGAGACAAGATTTCATCACTTGTGAATCTTACGTTGTGAGAAAGACTATACACAAGTAAACAACTGAATTTCAGATAACAAGGGGAAAATGGTATCTGTGGTAGAAAAGAGGATTCTTTTCATCATGGTAATCAAGGAAAGCTACTCTGAGGTGACAATTGAGAAGAGAACTGAGAGAGAGAGAGTGGAACATGCAGTCTAATGAAAGAATGTTCTGGGTGGAAAGTCCCTCAGGGAGATCTTGCCATGATTCTGAATCAGCAAGATGTGGTTCCATTCCTCCATTTTCAGTGAGAAGCTCTGATTCTCCCATTGTGCAGTGACTAAACTCTTATAATAGCAATTGTCTCTGTGATTCATTTGTTACTGAAAGTATGTTATATTATCATACTAGTTGTCTTTAAGAAGTTGAGATGCTTGCTCTCCACTTCAGACAGAGCTCCTTCAGGATAGGGACCTTGTCCTATGCTTCTTGAGATACCAAAACCAAAAATAGTACTCTCATATAATAAGCATTAATAAACACTCACCGATGATCATGATCTGATGTGATGATCTATGATGTTATCATGTTTTCAGGGAGCATATCCACTCTTGACTAAAGATAAAGCTGGATAGAGGGTAGTGAGAGGTTCTGGCTATTTAAAAAATACATCCGATAAATATATAGCGGTTCTGAAAAAACAAACAAGCAAAACTTAAGAATATGCTGTTTAGAGATATATACACATATAGTAAAATTATGTATATAATTATATATTATACATATATTATATATAAAATACTTGGCTATGTTAGGTTATGCCTGTTATGTCCAAGTGGAGATGACAATTGAGCAGTTGAATATATGAGTCTGAAACTCAGTAGAAATGTCAGGGATGACAATATAAATTGGGGCGTCATCAGCATATAGATTGCACACTATTTAAAGTAATGAGACTGGTTGAGATCACTTAGGAAGAGAATAGAAAGAAGGGTAAGTATAATTTGTAGTAGCAAAGAATTGCAAACAACTATTTATCAATAGAAAATTGGTTGAATAAATTACAGATTATGTATACTATACATTTTTATTTACTCTTACTAAGTTGTCTGACTTCAAGGAATATTCAGGATATATATTTTGACCTAAAATAATTTTTGGAGTAATATGAATAATATGTCTACATATTTGTAAAAAAAACTACATAAATATGTGTACGAGTCTACATAGTAGAAAGATACATTCTAAACTAGGAGGAATGGGAGATCAACTTTTTCCTTCTAAATATATTTGTATTTCATTCATGCAGTTTTAAAAAATCTGATGATAAAGAGGGACATAAAACAAATGTGTCTTAACTATTTAGAATGTAAAGGAATCTTAGAATGGATATTTATGACAATAGCAATATCCTATCAGTAATCCACTTATTCTACTTTTTGTGGCTTTGTATCCTTTCCCTTTTTTTTGGGTACATCTGCTCCCCCAGAACTTTGACTCTTAACCTTTTGCACTGTCCACCCTTAGCTGGGGGACTGCCCTTAGGCTGTGGAAACAGTTATGCCTGCCCACATGAGAGCTGGGAAGTGCCTAGGAATTTATGTCCCTCTAGGGTCAGTCATTAGCCAACGTCTGATGGGTGAAAAGGTTTGAATGTTGCAGAGATGCTCTGGAGACAGCATAGGTCACACATGTCCCTAATAAGGGAGCAGCATGTGTAATCTATGCTGTCTCCAGAGCATCTCTGCAGGATTGAGACAAAGTTCCCTTTCTTGGGACTTGGCTTAATATCACGTTAGCCAGATCACCTTCCCTTCCTAGTCCTGCTTCCCAGCTGTCCTTCTAGCATTTTCTGGGAATACTTCCTGATAAACACTTTTACAAGATCCCAGTCTAAGACAATGACGAGTCTATTTTAAGTGCCTACTGAAGTCACCTTAACTCTTGAGGACACAGGCATCATGGACAGGATATATAGTGTAGTAGTTTAGATGCTCAGAGTTTAGGTGATGAGTTCCAAGCTCTGCCACTTACTCTCCATGTGGCCTTGGGCAATTCACCCAACTCCATGCTTTGTTTTCTCATCTGTAAGATGGGATTGATAATAGAACTACTTTACAGAGCTATTTCAAGGAGTAAATAAAATAATGTACCTAAAGTGCATCTAGCATGTTAGGCACTCAATAATTATTGAAAAACTAATAAAGATGCTTGATGTAAGTATCATGACTATTTATCTCTATGTATGCTGTGGCATGTCTGATGAAAGAAGTTTCTTTTACATGAAAATTTATGATATGAAGTTTTCCTTGGGATGAAAGCCACTCTTTACAGAACATTATTTTATTATGTATGACTCATATGAAGTAAACAAAGTTAATACATCATTGATTTTAATGGGATTTTACATACTATGATTAATATGCCATTACTGCATAAAAACATTCTACATGCTGAGAAGTGTAGCTGGTGCATTAGAATATCATTTGGCATAAAGTTTCAGCATATGCTACTTTCACTATGTGTCCCTATGAATGCTTTAACATCTGGTATAAATCAGATAATGAATCAAAAAATGAAAAATTATATCTCCCTAACAACCATATCACATATTTTAGCACTGAATAATATATCATTTTAATGTCTTGAATAACATCACTATTTATGGGGGCGGTGCAATGACCACATCCTTTATTGGTCTAGTTTTACTTTTAAGAATCTTGTCTTATTGCTTAGAGCAACTCAATTGTTCTGTCTTCTAACTACATGGAGCACCATCCTGAAGCCTATTTTTTCTTGGACCCAAGACCATGGAATTAATTTATATGTGAACCTATTTTATAATAATGTATGGGCTCTATGAAATTCCCCTGGTTGGGGTTTAAGCAAAGCTAGCTAATATTGAATTCTGTTTATTACAAACTGTACATTTCCTGCTAGTTTCTAATTTTATTTCATATAAAAATCCCCTTGTTGTAATTGCTGTCATTCTCTCTCTGTTTTCCCCTAATTATTCTAACTAGGGTAAATTCTCAGTCCTTCAGGAACTGTGTATTTAATCTGTGGATTTTCCAAATCCTCTTTTTAATTCTTTTACTGTATATACTTAACCATTTAAATGTTTCCTATTTTTATAATTCACCAGATGATAAATAATGGTAGAGTGAGTTTGCATTAAAATAAGGAGTTTGTTATCTTTATAGAAATTCCTGGTAAAAGTCTGGCTCCAGTGAATGCATGAAATGAATTATTTTACCATTTGGGGTTCTTAATCCTTTCTCTAACATCATATATAAGTTAAAGTTAAAACTCTGCACTTTGTTGTTTTTTGTTTTTGTTTTTGTTTTTTTGTGGTACGCAGGGCTCTCACTGTTGTGGGCTCTCACTGTTTTGGCCTCTCCCGTTGCGGAGCACAGGCTCCGGACGCGCAGGCCCAGCGGCCATGGCTCACAGGCCCAGCCGCTCCGCAGGCATGTGGGATCTTCCCGGACCGGGGCACAAACCCGTGTCCCCTGAATCGGCAGGTGGACTCTCAACCACTGCACCTCCAGGGAAGCCCTGCATTTTGCCCTTAAATATAATAGTTTCACCAAGAGCAAAGCTGCAAGTGTTTTTTTAAAAAAGGTCTAATGTCACCCCACTCCATACCACCCATTACTAAGCTGCACATCACTTGAGATAATGGAGGTTGGAAGGGTTTGTTCATAAATTTGAGACGATTAGGAAGTTCTTACATAGAAGAGTCTTTGAATAAGTTTAGAATCTAAGCTTAAAGGAGAGATTAAGGACAGGTAACAAAATAAGCAATTATTTTTAATCGATCAAAATAATCTTAGCTATGTTCTGAGCCCATGACTTCAGAAAAGCTTAACCTAAGGATATTGTGATGTAGGCAAAGTGTATGCATGGGAATCCTAACCTTTATTTAAGTGCTTCTCTCCTAACTTTCAGGCCTCTTTGACCCCAAGGTAATTTTTATGCTACCTTTGGCTCTAGAAAAATACTGATTATCCTCAATCCCACTATCTAACCACTTTCTGAATACTCAACTATTTTCCTTCCACTCTACACAGGCCAGAATTTCTATTCCCCTTTCCTATTGAATCTTTCCTGGTGACCAAAATAATAAAATAAATAGATTCATGCTAAAGGGTGGTTACAGCCACCTGTAAGTCTTCCACTCCATTCTATTTTCCTTTAAAAAAAACCCACATTGAAAAGATCCATAAACCCAATGGAATTTTGAAGTACTTTATAATTTCTGGAAATCAAACAAAGGACAGAATGTTGTGCTACAGTGGATGTTTTTGTAAAATAATGAACTCATATGATATTGGTAAGAAGAGGAACAATGTCAAAACATAATGTGGAAGTTGATTGATTCATATGTGACCATTCCCATCATTAATATTTAACACCACCAGGTAGCACCCACAGAACACAAAGTACACATACACAAGTAAATGCAGCTAGCCAGAGGAATATGTCACGCCCTACTTTCTTCCTCTTGGCTCTGTTCAGCCACATGCTCTATGTCCTAGAAAGGTTTATTAAGCCTTCTCCCCATCTTTGTGCAATTGTTTTGTCTCTGTAACTCTTCCTTACGCTCTTTCATCAAGCTTATTTACTGCAATGTTTATTTATTAGGGTTAACATCTTTTTAAACTGCTACTATTTTTATTAGAATTAGTGTTCCTAGTGCTCTTGGTTACAAAATTTCATAGGTTGTGATGGTCCACCCAGCCTAATTTTTCCTTATTTTTAGTGTATAATATTGCAGAATGTGAAGGTTTTTACAAATACATATATCACGTGACTGCAGGAATGCCTGTAAAGTATTTTAAAATGTGTGGGGAGGATTTCTTTCCATCTCACTTTCCTTTTTCTGTCCTTCCTTTCCTTGCAGGGGACAGCCTATAGAAAGAGAAGGAGGAATTCTGCCCCCCCCCCCCGCCCCCAGTTCTATCTATGTATTCTAAACTTCTAAGTGATAGTTTTTAGAGTTAAAAAGCTATCCAACTGAAATCTCACCAGTCTTTCCCCAAAGTTATTACTATCAATAATGATGAATTTAATTATCAAAGCTCTCCAAGGAGCACAATTCCAATGATACTGTTGATATCTTAATTTTTATGAAAATTCTCTTTGTGTTTTGTTAGGTTTAGATGCTTTGTTTCAAATCTTTCCCTACAAGCGCATATGATATATGAGAAATAGTCTCATTTTGTCCTTCCTTCCTCTTTATCATCACCTTAAACTATTTTCACACGCTTTTGGAAGGGGTTTGGCAATCTACAACTCTACGGTTGTGTTTAAGATGCAATTAGAGCCCGTTCTAGGCTTACAAAGAGCTGCAGAATATTCAAGGTTTCCTCAAGATTGTCTACATGTCTGAGTTTGTCACACATTCAGAAATCTTGATTCTACAAAGTGTAAAATGCTGTAGGTTGGCTAAAAGGATGGGATCCAATCAGCTTTCCATCCATATGAACAACTTTGGACATCACATTTCATAGAAAATAAAGGGGGCGTACATCAGGGTCCTCTGGCCTTTTCTCCAACCTCCTCACCCTCAGAACTATTGCAGGTATTCCAAAAAGGAGGAAAATATCTTAATGCCAGAAAGTATTAGAAGAGAACAAAGATACATAAATTCCAACAAAACATTAATATTTATTGAGAGGGACAAAGCAAGAAAAAACTGGGTCATGGAAATGAAGCCAGATATAAAGCTAAAAACAAAAAGCGCAAGTGAACTATAAATTTGGCTCAACTTTCTAGTAGCCAGTGTGAGAAGGGTCATCTACCCAAAATATTGTGTCCGTTAGCTGAAACAAACCAGTTATATAGAGGACATAGATTTATTTTTGGAACTAACACCATAGAGAAATTTTTCTCTGAGGAGCTCATAATCTATGTGATGATAAGGAGTATTTTTGCACTTGGGCGAAATTTTAAGAATGAAATTGATAAGAGGGCTGGCTTCCTATCCTTGCTTCAGCAGGGGTAAGATTTAGTTAGAATGAAATCTTTCCAGTATAAAGAATGAATGCAGGTTATTGATGTAGGTAATTCTACTCCCCGCCATACCCCAGTTTTTTGAGAGTAGGATCTGCTTACTTAACTGTTAGTTGGTGTTTATTAAACCATTAAATGAATGACCGCCTGGTCAGATGTCTCTCTGCTGTCCAGCATCAAGTACCAAGTAGAATGACAAGAGTTTGTCTACCTTTGCTACTATGTTGAGGATTCAGTCCCCTGGGGGAGCCTCAGAAAGTGCCACATTTGATTAGCTCTGTTACGGGAATGGGAACAGGGAATGCTTCGTGAGTGCCTAGTATTTGTCAACGTGAAGATCCTATATACTGAAGGTGGTGGCTCTTTGAGGCCTGTGAGACAGGTCTCCAGGGAGACTTCCTTAATCTAAGGGGTCTTTTGTGGGTTAGGAATCGAAAGACTTGTGTTAAACTGTCAAGAATTAGTTATGTAACCTTAGGCTAAATCCTTCAAAATCTGTGTAACTCTTTTTTCCTAGTATGTAAGGTGAAGATAATTACTTGCCCTCCCTAACACCTACACCACCCAGTCTTTTGCCCATTATTTTTTGTTTATTTTACTTTCTGGTTTATCCTGTGAACATACCTATTTGAAGGAGAAACTATGTTTTACTGGTTTATATCCTAAGCACTTATCACAATGACTATTATATCGTATACCGAATAAAATGTCCATTGGTCCAGTGAGTTAATGAAAATATCTGGAAAGTTTCACAGTGCTAAATAAATGTAAGCTCTCTGAGGAAAGCAGGTAGGACTTCACCATGTTTTTCTCTCCTTAGGGCTGGTAGTTTCTTCCTGTGACCCAAATGACCCTAAGCAATCAGTACCAGTTCATACAGAGCTTGGACAGTGCCTGAATGTTGGTGCATCTCACAACCTCATCCTTCTGGAAGAATCCTCACTTCAGGGCTTAGGCTCCTTTGGATCATCTGGTATCCAGTGTCATACATTGCTCGTCATATACAGCCATGCTCGTACTGTCAAACACCTGTAAAAAAATCAAAATGTTGACTAATTTATTCTGAATCACATTTTCTATGTGTCCAGATGCTCCAGGTTTGCATATTACTTTCCCGCAATTACAACAGCAAGAAGTTATTGAGATCTTAGTATGTACCAGGCACTATGTGCTTGCATGTATTAACTCATAGTATCCTCACATTTCTATAGGGCAGGTATGACTGTTACACCATTTGCATGACAGCACTGGAGAAGAAACAGAGGTTAAGTATTTTGCCCAGTCACACAGAGTGGTGGAGCCTAGATTCCAGCATGAGCTGTCTGGCTCCAGAGTCCAAGATTTTAACCACTGTGTTATGTTGCCACATGACTAATGGCTTTAGCTGTATTTTTATGACAATCCGTCTTACTTTGGGGAAACAGTAACAATAAGAATTTTAAATTCTGTGTAATTATGAAATACTTACCTTTTACTTCTACAGTTACCCAAAGTTTTAACTGGTATTCCCTTTGTGTGCTTATACTGGCAATACTGTACCCATACAGCAAAGAGATTGTTATAGGAAGTTAAAACAAACACCAGAAATCTACTCAAAACTGTACACTAAAATGCTAAATAAATAAATGTTCAACTTAAAATACAGTTGACCCTAACATAAGGAAGTAATTTATACCTCTAGCTTAAACCAGGCCTAGCTTGCTATGACTGTACCATTTACATGAGCTAACTACCCTAACATCAACATGGTGACAACTATAAATGTATTACTTGCTATTCAAGGATCTTGTAAAGTTGATGATTTTGTACATGTATGTTTCCCTTCATAATGGTAGATCTCATGTGTTGATACCAAATTTTAGAAAATTAGTTGTCATACTTGAATATTTTAATAAGCAATGAATAAAGGAGAAAACTCAGTTAAAATAACAGAACTATGTTAGAGTACTTCAGAAGACCAGTTTTTCACACCTGTTTTCTACTAGCATACAAAAGCTACTAGTATGAAGAAACCATACATTAAGCATAGTTGAATTATCCTTAAGCTATATCCTGTAGGGGCTGTAACACTGTTTTTAAGAAAAATATTAAAAAAGGTGAAATCTATAACTCAAACAGTACACAAGACTTACTTCATCTATAAAAATAGAGCGAATGCCAATGCTTTATTTGCCACAGAGATAAGGAGGGAAACATTGGTAAAAATAAATGTGATAACATGACTCACACTTCATTACAAATGATTTTCCTAAATTCATAACTTTCACATTAAGCTGAGCTAAAAAGAAAAAAACAAGCCCCCAAAACACACTAAAAAGCTTTCACTTGATGAAAGTAGGCCAAATCACATGATCCCTGTGAATGAGGGAGTTTAATTTTCTAGCTGAGAAAATATTTTCCATAATTTAGTAAGCTTAAATAATTCACCCATGATGATAAATAAGCCCTTGGGTCAGGATCAGAAGAAACCTCCTGTATCAGCTTATTTTTAAGCAGTACACAAAAATTTTATTATGGAACATTTTCTTGGTTAAATCTTAAGAGTAAAGACAATTAAAACATCCATACTACTTCACCATCTTTCAGGTCTTTTTCTCCTAAATGTACCTTCTAGATTTCTTAGGTGTGCTGTACAATACCTTGGGGTGCTAAAGTTGATGAACACCTTACTCCATTAAGTGAAATTCACTTAATGGAGTAAGGTGTTCATCAACTTTAGCACGCTAAGGAAGTGTTATTTAAACTTTGTCCTCATTCTCCTCTCCCACGTTACCAGTAGTAAAATTTATTTAAAAAACAATGAGAAAGAAATACCGTAGTCTAGAGGCACCTGGGAAGGGAGGGAATATGGCTCAGGAGAGATATTAGTCATATTGGAGATTTATGGAGTCTAATTATAAACCCCTTTACCCTCTCCCTGGTTTTAGACTTAGGGTGTGAGGTGTCTGAGATGTGCATGGAGCCTTCACAAACTGACATTTTCTTCCTTTTTTTCCCCTTTTTTGCATGAAACGAAATACAAGTGCTTGGTACTACGTGCTTTTGAGGCTTAAAGGGCCATTAATAAACACGCTGTTTCGGTCGTTGAGGGGGATCGAAATCACTTTTTAATAAATATCGCCAGAAGAATCTCCTCGAAGGGAGACTGAAGTTATTCTCCCTCCCCAGGAGCCCTAAGGGGAAAGAGAGACGGAAGATAATGTCCCCTACTTGCACGTGAGATTTCCCTTTCTCCTCCGACCCCCCTCCGCCTCTACCGCGCAGGTCTGGCCGCCTCGGGAGGTAGCTGGGAGAGAAAGCCACGCTCAGTCCTCCATGGCAAAGTCTTTGGTCTTTTCCTCCTGGTCGCCCACTTTGTAGCGCAGCAGCACGCGTAGGTGACGGTGGTTGTCCTGGGAGGGCAGCAGCGTGATCTCTCCGGAAACGTCCGTATCTTGCTCCACTTGCACAGGCTCGTTCAGGTAGAGGAGTGCCTGCTTCCAGTGCGTGACTGGGTGAAAAGGCGAGGTGGACAGCACCAGGGGTTTCTCCGAGTCCCCTCCGGGGAAGGTCACCTGGAACCAGATGGCAAAGCCGTGCATGTGAGCCGAGCCGTAGCAGCTGAAGCGGAAGCGCCCACCCACCCCCGCTTCCAGCTCCTGCTCCAGGCCGGCGCGGGCCAGCTCCAGCTGAGCAAAGCACTGCGGCCGGGCCAGCACATCCTCGCCGGACAGGCCTTGCACCACGATTTCTGAGTGGGCCATGAGGCAGCGCGTGGCGAAGCTCTCCAGGCAGCTCATGTCCACACCGTAGAGCTGCTTCATCTGGCTCCAGAAGCTTAGGCGCAACTCCAGCATCTGGTCGCTGATGGGCGCCACGAAGAGCTCGGCGGAAGCCGGCAGTAGAAGACCGCCCTCCTTCAGCCACTTGGTCCGCGCGTGGAGCACAGAGCTCAGCATGGACTCGTGCAGGAGTCCGCAGCCCATCCACTCGCTCACGATGGCATCCACCTGCTCCGGCAACTCCACCGTCTCCACTGGCCCCGGCAGGACGTGCACCCGGTCCTCCAGCCCGTTGAGCCGCACCACCTCCCGGGCCTGTTGCCAGATGTCGCTGGCCTCCACCGCGTACACGCGCCGGGCCCCGGCCTGGGCACAGAAGATGCTGAGAATGCCGGTGCCCGCGCCCACGTCCAGCACGGTCTTGCCCCGCAGCGCTGCCCAGTTCCGCAGAATGCCCAGGCGGTAGGCATCGGTGCGGACGCGGTCGGCAATCATCTCCTCGTGGACCGATACATCCGAGTAGCACTGGTAGTACAGCTGGTCTCGCTCCCGCCTAGTCCTCCGGGGTCGTGGCAGGGCCACCTCCAGCTCTCCGCCATCTTCCTCTTCAGTTCCCTCCCCTCCTTCGCCGCCGCCCCCCGACCCAAGCTTTCTTCTCTTGGGCTGCGACATCTTGGCGGCTCGGGCCGGCTCCCGGCGTGCGTTGCGCGACGCGGCGCGAGCTCTAGGAAGCGGGGGCTTCTGGTATTTGTAGTGCGCGCTCGTGGCGCCCGCTTTTGGCGGGGCACTGGGCGAGTGCCCGCCAGATGCCTCTGAGCTGAACTGTGCTTTTTTACCTGCTGCTTTGGTGTCGTGGAATCCGTCTCCCACCACCCCGCACCCATATTCTATGATTTTTTACGTTCCTCCTCCTTCCCTTAGATCCTCGATTCTCTTTTGCTTTCACTCCCTTCCTGAAGTGGACACGCCCACTTAAAACTAATAAATCCATGTTCTGTCATGTCTACTCAACTCCCAGATTTTTTATTACACAGAATTATCTGGGTGGCACCGTTCATACACTACCGCCTCATCTGGACAGTTGCAACTCTTAGAGCTCTCCAAATGTGGAGATTTGGAAATTGCACTACATGTTTTTCTTCTCTGTTTTCAGGGGAGTTAGGATTGCAAAGGTGTAAATGGAACAAAGTTCTCAGGGGAGTTAGGATGCAAAGGTGTAAATGGAACAAAGTAAAAACCCAACGGTGTAAAACCCTGGTTCGGATTCCAGTGAGACCACAAATTAATGGAATGATTAGGGCAAGCTATATAACTACTCTTGCCTTCAGTTACCCATTCACCAGCAGCAAAGAATCTTCAATGCAGTTGAAAAATTAAGTTTCTGGTCTCTATTTTAGCAGAATGGTTACTTGGCTCTTAGTCCTGCTCTGGTAATTCTGTGGCTCATTCAAGAGTTAAATCTTGGAAAGGTTCAAACCAAGGAGCAGTTGAAAAGCAACAGTGGTGTGATACAGTGAAACCCATTGCCAGGTGTATTCTGGTAACCAATTATTTTTTTTCCCCCAGAGGTAACTGAATCCTTCATCCCCTGTGATCACTTCTCTGCTTCAACTCATTTTTTCCTGTGTGTCTCCTTGTCTGGGCGAGATTGGTACTCCCCTCTTCCTCTTTCATTTTCCTTTCAGTCAACCATCAGTTGTTAATCTCTTTCCTCTTTGTTGTTCATAGCAGAAATAAAATACATTTTAAAATACATGTGATGTCTATATGGGTGTCTGTGTTCTTCACAAGTAAGGTGAGAAAAAATTTTCTCCCAGCTTAAAAAAAATCACACGAAGAAAATTGACTTTTATTTTCTTGTAGTCTCAAACTATGTCTTTTAAACCAATGAGCCTGTATTCCTTATCTGTGGGAAAAGTTCCTTTACCCCATTCTCTCTATTAATCTGTCATTGAATGAAATAGGCTGATTGACCTGACATCCTCAGCTGTACTTCTAACTCAGGGCTTTCTGGCTGCTCATAAGAATCCTCTGTGGAGCTTTTTAAAAATACCTATGCCTGTGTCCCACTTCAAACTAATTAAATCAGAACCACTCCAGTAGAGCTTGCGCATACAGTTTTAAAAGCTACCCAGGGAGTTTGTGCAGCCAGAGTGAGAAATGTTCTTAATGATTTTAGTTAAATCTTGCTCCATTATTTTCATTGGGTAAATTATCTTTTTTTGGTGGCCTGGGCTCAGCCATTTAAGGCTAAAAATCCTCAGAGCATTTCCTCTCTGCCCAGTTTGATATCTTGTTTTAAGAAAATAGAGGCCCAGAGCAGGACATGGGATTAGAGTTGAAAATGTGACTGCTTCAATATATTACTTCTAGGCTGTTGATTAGTGTATACTTCTCCCATTCTTTCTGTCCTCAAAATCTTTTCCTCCCTCTTTTAGATGCATTGACTCCTCTACCCTATTTCCAATTCACTGACTTGTGGTCTTTTTAAAGAAATATCTGAATATAAGTTTTGTTGGTTCTACTTCCAAAATATATCTGAGTCCATCCTCTTTTCTCCTTATCCACTGCCTACACCCTAGTCTAATTTCCCATTTTTGCTTGTATGGAAATCAGTCTCCTAAGAGATCTCTCAACTTCTAGTCATACTCCTGTCTAATACATTCTCCACAGAGCTACAAGAATGAGTTTTTAAAAATCTAAATTGGACCATGTCATTCTCCAGTAACTTCTTCCAGTTACTGAAACAATCCAGTAACTTCAAGTAACTTCCCAGCTTATCTCATACTTCTCTTCCCAGCTCCCTCTTGGGCTCAAGATATACAGGCCTTCCACCTTTTTTCTGTCTTAAGTCTATACATACGCTCTTCCAGGACCTGGAAGATTGTTTTTCTTGTTTTTTTTTTTTTTTGTGGTACGCGGGCCTCTCACTGTTGTGGCCTCTCCCGTTGCGGATCACAGGCTCCGGACGCGCAGGCTCAGCGGCCATGGCTCATAGGCCCAGCCGCTCCGCGACATGTGGGATCTTCCCGGACCAGGGCACGAACCCGTGTCCCCTGCATCGGCAGGCGGACTCTCAACCACTGCGCCACCAGGGAAGCTCAAGGTTGTTTTTCTTCTTAGCACTTCACTTCAGTGGCTCCTTATCTGTCAGGCCTCAACTTAAATATTACCGCCTAAGAAGGTCCTTCCCTGGCTACTTTAAATACTATTTTCTAACTCAAGACACTTTATTTCCTTCATAGCTTTTATTATTAGCTGAGTGTATGTAATTTGTCTATTTGTTTTTTGTAAAATATAAACTCCAGGAGACTTGGACTTTTGTTTCCCCATTATTGTAGTTCCCAGCACTAGAACAGAGCCTGACATGTATAGAGTGTTTAATAGTCTTCAATGAAGACTGTTGTGGAAGCAATTAAATTGTTATTCATAGGGGAAGGAGAAGAGAGTTTTGTTTTTTGTAGTGCAGTGTGACAATTTGACTCTGGTAAACTCTGAGATAAATCCAGATATAGATCAAATTTAGGATAATCCCAGATGTGAGATGATTCCCTTTCCAAACTCTCATAACCCTTTTAGATAGAATAATGGTAAGCCCTAATTTTATGCCCAGATTAGAGAGAAAATGGCCTGTGGCACTTTCCTTTCCTGCACTCTGGCTTGATACAGAGAGCGATTTCTTTACTTGTCTTTTCTACCACACTGAGTTGTTTTAAGTAAGAAGGAGACCAGATCGTAGTCCTTCTCTAAGCATCGCAGCTCAGCAGCTAACCACCTGGATGGGAGAAGAATTGGAGCTGTGCTGGCAGAGTGTTCTTTGTGTTTTCATGCCAGTGGTCTACTCACATCTATTCAATGTGAAAACCCATAGTTTTTCAAACAAATGGATCTTGAAATTGATTTAATACACCTTCACCAGCATTAAAAACAATAGAATAGAAAATATCAAATACACAAAATGAATAAAGGTGAGTATTACTTCATAAAACTTGTTTCAGTTAAGTATGCTCTCTCTCTCTCTCTCTCTCTATATATATATATATATATATTTCTTGCTACAGATTACAGTTAAAAATTATTCTCCAAAAACAGTGTAAACTTTGATATTTTTGTAACTTTGCTTTGAGTATGGTACTGCTTTGTCCTCTCACTTATCTTTTTAGGTAGTCCTCAAATGTTATCATTTTTTGGTAGCTTTTCAACCAGTCTGTGGCCCAATCCTCTTGTACCAAAGCTCATCCTCTTGTACCAAAGCTATTTGTATATATGGCTTTTCCATGCTAGACAATGGACATTTGAACGCCAAGATTTTTTTATTTCTCACTTTTATATTAAGAATCTAGCATATTGTGATGGAATCTGAACCATTTGCACATTCCAGATTGGCAGTCCTGAGTACACACAGGATCATAGATGTGTTTTGTATGACTGTGAGAACCATGGTCGATTTCTGCATCACACACATTCATGCATTTATCCAATCATTCATTTATTCAACAAACATTCTGGACTTCTACTCTGCACTAAGTATTCTAGAAACGGGACATATCAATAAACAAAAAGACAAAAATCCTTACCGCATGGGGCTTCCCTGGTGGCGCAGTGGTTGAGAGTCCGCCTGCCGATGCAGGGGACACGGGTTCGTGCCCTGGTCCTGGAAGATCCCACATGCCGCGGAGCGGCTGGGCTCGCGAGCCATGGACGCTGGGCCTGCGCGTCTGGAGCCTGCGCTCAGCAACGGGAGAGGCCCGCGTAACGCAAAAAAGAAAAAAAAAAAAAGAAATCCTTACCCCTAAAGAGCTTATATTTTTGTATTAATGTTATGTTATCTATTAATCTTATGTTTTTGTCTCTGTTTTTACTTAAGTAAAGTATTATACTGCTTTTTTTTTTGCGGTACGCGGGCCTCTCACTGTTGTGGCTTCTCCCGTTGCGGAGCACAGGCTCCGGACACGCAGGCTCGGTGGCCATGGCTCACGGGCCCAGCCGCTCTGCGGCATGTGGGATCTTCCCGGACCGGGGCATGAACCCGTGTCCCTTGCATCGGCAGGCGGACTCTCAACCACTGCACCACCAGGTAAGCCCTATACTGCTTTTAACTATCAACTTTCTTTCTTGTATTATTTTACCTTGGGTCCTGATGTGATTTCCTCCCACAAATACTTATTTCTAATTTCTTTTCCTCTTTAATTTGAAGGTCTGTTGTTTAAAAGTGTGTTTTAAAGCCTAGTATATAGAGCTGCAATGAACGTTGTGGTACTTGACTCTCTTTGAATTATGGTTTTCTCAGGGTATATGCCCAGTAGTGGGATTCCTGGGTCATATGGTAGTTCTGTTTTTAGTTTTTTAATGAGCCTCCATACTATTCTCCATAGTGGCTGTATCAATTCACATTCCCACCAACAGTGCAAGAGGGTTCCCTTTTCTCCACACCCTCTCAGGCATTTATTGTTTTTAGATTTTTTGATGATGGCCATTCTGACTGGTGTGAGGTGATACCTCATTGTAGTTTTGATCTGCATTTCTCTAATGATTAGTGATGTTGAGCATCCTTTCATGTGTTTGTTGGCAATCTGTATATCTTCTTTGGAGAAATGTCTATTTAGGTCTTCTGCCCATTTTTGGATTGGTTTGTTTTTTCTTTTGATATTGAGCTGCATGAGCTGCTTGTAAATTTTGGAGATTAAGCTTTTGTCAGTT